CAAAGGGCCGCCGTCGCCACGGTCTAGCCCGGGGCTCCCGCACTTCCGGCTCGCGCTCGGTGTCGCTGGCAAATGCCCCCGCCGGCCCCCCACATAACCTGCTCTCCGGCTTCCTCCCCGGAGTCGGAAGCCGGGCTGTGCTTCTGGGCATGCGCCGGGCGCCAGGCTCTGCCCTCGCGCTACGGTGGCCTGTTCGGGGCAAGATAACGACTCTACGTTTGCAGTTCGTGCCGTCTGCACCCGCTGCAGGGAGCCAGGACTCGAATTCCAGAGGCCAAACGCTGCCCTGTTTTTTTTGTTTGTTTGTTTATTTTACTTCATTTTTAATTTTTTTTTTTTACCGTCACTGAGGCGAACCTGTCAAGGCAGATGACGTCTTACTCTTACAGTCTCTTCGAACTCTCCCAGACGTCTCTGCCTCTGGTTAGGCCCTCCCTTTTATCTACACTACACTTACTTTTACACCATACCCAGAAGAGCCCCTGTCCTTTTCTCTCTCTCTCTCTCTCTCTCTTTTATTCTATGGGTGAAAACAAAAGAAATCAAATTTGTTTTTTTCCATGAACCGGGTGGCTAAAACAATACATCATTGTCAGGGCTCTGAGTCGATTTCCAGTTTTCCTCGTCAGGCTGAGTTCTGCCTGTGTCTGACGTTGGAGCCCAGGAGCGGTGGAATCAGGCACAAGAGCTGTTTCCCTGGACCAGCAAGTGGGGCCTCCTACCTGTGGCTCTACATCACCGGGAACAGGCGGGAGATCAGGATGAACTAAACAGGAAATTGACCTGTCCACTTTGGACTAGCCCTGAACTGTTGTTGGTGTCTGTTATTCTCCCGGGAAACTACATTTCCCAGCAGCATATGCGCTGGTTGATTTAGTGCCGTGGACTCGAGAGATTCGCCCACCCCGGGCGGGGGTCTCGGCTTCAGGCTCCTTCCGGGACGCTGAGCTCCGACTTCTGGGACTGAATCGGGACTGGGGACCGACAGCGACCCACGTGTTCCATCTGCTTCTCGCGGCTCTTCCGAACAATACCAGCTTCTAATCGTGAGTGTCCCCATTTCGGCCAGCTTAACCGCCCCTTTTTGACCCGGGTATTGACTGTCGAGCTCGCGGAAACCCCGGTGTTTGGGGGTGTGGGGGGAGACACTCCAACCTTGGGTCTTCAAGGCCTTGGTTGCTCCCTTCGCTGGCATTCAATTCCGGCTTTCTTCCTCTGTTAAGCCCGTGCCAGGGACGGTTGGCCGTGGCCAGCCCCCAGCACACCCACACCTGGGGGCCCCGGGGTCTCCAGTTCTTACTCTTTTATTTTTTCATTCCTTTCTTTCCTTCTTTTCGTCCTCACGGCTGCTACGGTGCAGTTGACTGCTACGGTGCAGCACGGCCTCTGCTTTCTGAGCAATCTGCCCAGATCCAGCTAGGTCCTTAACAGCCTACACGTGGCTCGGGGACGCTACCATCTGCAACTCACCTAAACAGGGAGCCGTTCTCGTTATAGGCTTGAGCTGCCACTTTTTTTTTTTTTGCGGGTTTTTTTCACGGCCGTAACCATGGGAAGCAAACCCGCTAAGCCAATCCCTCCCGCCTCCCCGCTAGGGCGTCTCCTGGACACCCTCCAGCCCCACGCTTTAATGCCTTCCTTACAACTCTCCACACTTACCCGTCTCTGTTCAAAAAAAATGGCCCCGATATACCTTAGAGGGAAATTGTAAATGGCCTCCTAACGGCACCTTTGATCCCGACATTTTACGGGAATTATCAACATACTGCCAGAGTACAGGCAAATGGAAAGAACTCCCCTATATCCAGGCCTTTTTCTATATGACCACTAAGATCAACCCCTCTGCCCCGGCTCACTGTTCACCTGCGCACATGTTTCTAGCTATGCCATCTGCTCCTCCTATGGAACCCTCCGCTCCTGTTATGGTTCCAGCCGACGAACCTCCACCTTTCCGGCCTCGGAGATCTACCTCCTCCCGCTCTACCCGGTCAAGCAAAACTTCACCTAAACCTTCTAATTCTAGGTCTCCGGAATCCCCATGTAAATCCACTTCAAGTCTACAGAAGTCTCACCTAAAGCTTCTTCCAAGTCGAAAAAAATCTCCCCCAAATCTTGTTCCAGGACTAAAAATATCTCACCTAAAACTTCTCCCTGCAGGTCTTCACGAAGCTCACCTAAATCCACCCGCTCCCAGCGGTCTACAAACCACTCAACAGATTCTGACTCCTCTTCTCCCCGCAGGTCCCCAAAAAGTTCCCCGGATTCATCCCCCTCCCGTCCTACTCCACCCCTCCGGTCTTCCAAAACCCGGCTGCCTACGCTGGCAACTACCTTTACTCCTCCGCTTATGCGTTCACGTGCCGCCATGGAGGCTTATCCTAACCAAGCCAAGCCTGCTGCCATCCAGCCGTTGGGGGAAGTGGCTGGCGCAGACGGATTGGTTAGGGTTCATGTTCCGTTTTCCCTATCAGAACTCTCCCGTATAGCAAAATTGCTTGGGTCCTATACATCTAATCCTACCACTTTCATAAAGGAATTCCAATATATTACTCAATCCTATAATCTCACTTTCCATGACACTTTTATGATTCTGTCTAATAACCTACTTCCTGAGGAGCTTCCTGAGAAGCGCAGGCGGGTTTGGGACCAGGCCAGACAGCATGCCGAGGAGGTTCACCAGACTATTGCCTCCCACCCTCCAGGGGCAGAGGCAGTCCCAGACCAGGAACCACACTGGGATTATAACAGTCCAGGTGGGATTTTGGCCAGAGACCGATTTTTAACTTGTCTCCTGGCAGGCCTCCGTAAGGCTGCCCTCAAGCCAGTAAATTATTCCAAACTCTCAGAGATTATTCAGGATACAAAGGAAAATCTTTCTGCATTTCTGGAACGCCTCACAAAGACTCTGTTACAGTTCACAAACCTGGACCCAGAATCCCCCGAGGGCAGACTGCTATTAATGGCTCACTTTTTTAATCAGTGTCATTCAGACATCAAAGCCAAGCTCAGGCGTTTGGAAAAAGGCCCCTTAACTCCACAGGCAGAAGTCCTGGAGACCGCTTTTGAAGTGTACCATGCGGGAAATGACAAAGCCCGCAATCATTGCTGCGTGGCTACCAGGGCTGCCCGACCAGCTCAGGTGACAGACTACCCCATCCGCGCTGTCCGTGCTGCTCCCCCGACTCCCGGGGGGCGTGAACCGCCTGGTCCGTGTTTCAAATGTGGTGAGACGGGTCACTGGGCCCGAGGATGCCCTAATCCTCATCGTAGTCCCAGGGGACCTTGTCCAAGGTGTCACAGGGAAGGTCACTGGTCTGTAGATTGTCCTCGTATGCATGGTGGCATGGAGGCATCGGGCCCAGACAGTTCCCAAGTTGACCTACTGGGCCTGGTCTTGGATGATTGAAGGTTCCCCGGGCTCCCTTAATGACCCGACTGCCACTGTCATCTGTGATCAGGAGCCACGGGTATTTATCACTGTGTCAGGACGGCTCATTTCCTTCCTCTTGGACACCGGAGCAATGTAATCGGTTCTGAGGGAATTCTGGGACCTACCTCTTCTTCCAGCTCCCCTATTGTCGGGGTAGGGGGCAGCCTTATCTACCTCTACAGACTCCACCACTCAATTGTGTGTTTAGAGGCATTTATCTCACTCATTCATTTTTAGTTATGCCAACTTGTCCAGTACCTCTCATGGGGAGGGACCTTTAACTAAGGTCGGAGCCTCCATTTCTTTCGCTCCCCCCATTCACTTGATTCCAGATTTTCCGGTGACGCCACTTCTCCTAGCCTCCCAACCTTCTGACATTAATGCGTCTTTTCTCCTACCAGCCTCCCAGGTAGACCGCCAAATCTGGGACACCCAAAATCCCTCCGTCGCTAAACACCATTCCCCCGTTGTTATTCAGTTACAGGATCCCAACAGGTATGTGACCCAAGCTCAGTACCCTCTCTCTTCCCAGAGTCTCAAGGGACTCAAGCCTATTATTTCTGACCTTTTAAGGAAAAAGCTGCTCCGCCCCACCTCTTCTCCTTTCAATACCCCTATCCTTGCTGTTAAAAAACCTAATGGGACTTATCGTCTGGTCCAGGACCTCCGGCTCATTAGCTCTGCTGTTGTTCCTCTTCACCCAGTCGTCCCTAACCCCCTCATCCTGTTGTCTAATATTCCTCCAGGAACCTCCCACTTCTCGGTTCTAGACCTCAAGGGATGCCTTTTTCTCCATTCCTCTCAGCCCTCAATCTCAAAACATCTTCGCTTTCACCTGGACGGACCCTGACACTAAATTTTCCACACAGCTCACCTGGACTGTTCTCCCACAGGGCTTCCGAGACAGCCCACATCTCTTCGGCCAGGCCTTGGCCTCTGATCTGCTCTCACTGTCTCTCCCTAAATCCAAGCTCATATAATTTGTGGATGACATTTTACTTTGCAGCCCATCATTGGAGATCAGCAAGACGGATACTGTTGCTCTTTTAAATGTCTTATCCAAAAGGGGCTTTAGAGTCTCACCTTCTAAGGCTCAATTATCTACCACTCAGGTAACTTACTTGGGATTAACTATAACCTCAACTCAAAAGGCCATCACTCTAGACAGAAAAAAACTAATTCGATATCTTGCACTTTCTTCCACCAAAGAAGAGGTTTTATCGTTCCTGGGAGTGGCCGGCTTCCTGCGTTCCTGGATCCCCTCCTTTTCTCTCCTCGCCCGCCCCCTATATGAAGCAGCTCTCTGCTCTCTGTATGAGCCCCTTCTCCATCCGGTTACCAAACCCTTCCAGAGACTCCAACGGGCCCTTCTCCAGGCTCCAGCTCTTCATCTTCCGGATCTAACTCGCCCTTTTTCTCTTTATGTAGCAGAGAAGGAGGGATATGCCCTTGGGGTCTTAGGACATCACCTGGGACCTTCTTTTGTGCCTGTAGCATACCTGTCAAAGAAGATGGACCTCGCCACTCGGGGCTGGGCACCCTGCACATGTGCTCTGGCGACTGCTGAGCTTCTTATTCGTGAATCAAAGAAACTAACCTTGGGGGCACCTACCACAGTCTTCTCCCACCATAATCTGTCTAACCTCTTAACTCACAAAGGCTTACAAACCCTACCCCCTTCTCAAGTTCTTTCCCTCCAGGTGGCACTGGTAGAAGATGCCACACTCACTTTCCAGTGCTGCCCGCCCCCATCTCAAATCTCCTACCTAAACCTAATGGTAATGATTCCCCATCTCACTCTTGCATTGAGATCCTAGAGGATCTACTGCCCCACCCCTCACATATACAGGGGGGCAAACTGTCCCAGGCCACTTATACCTGGTACACAGATGGCAGCTCCTTTTTATGTGATGGGAACCGTAGAACAGGCTATGTCATAGTATCAGATACTGAGATAGTGGAGGCATGGGTACTCCCTGCCCATACCACTAACCAGCAGGCTAAGCTGATAGCTCTCACCCGTGCTTTCAGTTAACAGAGGGACAATCTTTAAATGTTTACACAGACTCTAAATATGCCTTTCATATCCTCCGGTCCCACGCAGCTATCTGGAAGGAGCGTGGGCTTCTTACGACAAAAGGAGGATCCATAACTAACTCAGGTTATATTATGGACCTGTTAAAAGCCTCCCATCTCCCCAAAGCTATAGGAATTATTCACTGTCGGTCTCACCAGTCCGACAGTTCCATTATTTCCAAGGGAAATAATCGGGCTGAGAGAGCAGCTAAGACAGCAGCATTCCAGAGCCCAGATCTACTTCAGTCATCACAGGGGGTCCTTACAGTGCAGCCCACACTCTCACAGACACCTCCTGACACCCAACAGATCCTGTCATACCTACATCAGCTCTTTCATCCTAATAACAAAGCTCCAACCCACCGCTGAGGACATAAGGTTCCTAAAGGCTATCACTACCTCCTGTCAGATCTGTCAAAGGTCAGATCCCAAGACCAAATACTGTAACTTCCCTTTTCCTACCCACCAGGCCAGGGGCTCCCTTCCAGGAACTAACTGGCAGCTGGATTTTACTCATATGCCCGCAGTCAAAAGAGTTAAATATCTCCTGGTTTTGGCGGATACAATGTCTGGGTGGGTTGAAGCATTTCCCACCACTAATAAGAGAGCCCAGACAGTCTCTGATGTACTTCTCCAAGAGATCATTCCCCGGTTTGGAATTCCAACCTCTCTTCAGTCAGATAATGGCCCTGAGTTCACTTCCCAGATTTCTCAAAACTTATCTAAGGCTCTTAAAATTCCATAGCATTTCCATATCCCATACCATCCTCAGTCTTCAGGGAAGGTAGAACGAAGTAACCACACTTTAAAAGATGCCCTTGTTAAAATGTCGCAGGAACTTCACCTTGACTGGGTAAAACTCTTACCTCTGGCCCTCCTGAGGCTTAGGGCCCTCCCAAGAAGCCCCCTTTTCATCTCACCCTTTGAACTCATGTCCAGTTCTAACTCCCGGCCTCTCACCTAAAACCTCTCCCCTTCCCGATCACCTGCTTACTCCACTACTAACTCATTTACGCACTTTACTATGGTATTTCGCTGACCACTCATTACCTCAACCATGTGCTAACCCATGCCCACCGCCGATTAAAATAGGAGATCAGGTATTATTTTCTCCCCCAGGTCAACGTCCCTCCCCCTTTTCCCTTAAATGGCAGGGTCCCCTCAGAGTAATTCTTTAACTCCTACAGCTGCCAAGCTCGAGGGAATTCTCACTGGACTCACCTGTCACATCTTAAACCATTTACTCCTCCAGCTCAAGATAATTCCTCATACGCGGTGACTCAGACAGGACCTTGCTCCCTTAGGTTCCAGAGGACACCAAGTTCAGCTCCCCTTACTCCAGTCCAAGGGAAATAGAGGTCCCATCCTTCATTTAACTCTCTTGTGCCAACATACTCTCCCTTCTCCTTTCCCTATGTGTGTTATGTCCAGATACCTCCAATGTCATGTTTAAATGTCCAAATAACCACTCAGCCGTTACAGGAATCGTCATCAGACACAGAGTCAAGGGTACAAAACTGTCATATCCAAATACCTCCCATGTCATGTTTAAATTTCTAAATAACCACTCAGCTGTTGTTACAGGAATTGTCATCAGACACGGAGCCAAAGGTCCAGGTGGGAAGCAAAATCTTAACAAGTTTCTTGACATAACAGGTTCGCCACTGACTGCAGCAGGGTCTCCTGGACGTTAAGGTAATACCCAGGATACACTCCATTATCCTGATCATGAACACAGGGTTAAAATATCTAAAATTTATTTCTTTTAAGACATCTTTTTAAGCTCCAGGGGCCAGCTTGATCCACCTAAACGGACCAGACTTGAACGGAATAAGTATCATTTAAATTTTTTTTATCATTCCTGGTGTTGAGGATCCCTAACCTCCCCCCCCATCCACCATCTAATTCTCTCTGTCATCACCACCCCCGTCCACCACTTAATTCTTACTCTGTCATTCTTGCTCTCAGAAATCCTTAAGCCCCCCATTTTAATTTTTTCCTCTCCTAAATATGACTTTTGTCTTTTCAGCATCTTACGAGGTTCAAGCCATCAGATGACCCAGTTCTTCAGGACCCGAAGAGATGCAGTTTCAATCAGCCATTGACCCTAGCGATGGGACCAGACAAAAATGCATCAGACACTCCAAACCCCTCGATGCCCACAAAGTCAGCAGGAAACAGTTATGAGAGACCGGGCTACGCCCCCATTCCCTACCCATTAAGACCCTTAACCCCCCACACCCAAATTTTTAACAAATCAAAAAGCATGGAAATGTTATTCTCCCGGGGAACTACATTTCCCAGCAGCCTATGGGCTGGCTGATAGATATCTATCTCACCAGTGTCTGACGTAGATATGCCTCTTTCACGCGCATGCACTGGGATTCTTTTAAAATCTGAGAGCACTATTCCCGGCCACTTCTTTACTGTTTTCCCCTCACTGTCACGTCCCCCCACCCTTAATAAACTCATCCACGTGGGTTCGTTTGTCGTGTCCTGTGTCGTCCTTCGTCTCTGCAGAATATTAGTGTCTAATTCGGTTTCTGCACTTAGACCACCCCTAAAACCCCTAACCCTCTAGCGTTTCAGCCTTGCAGCAAAGCTTCACTTTCAAAGGCAATGATCCCAGGCTTTCTCACCTTTTGCCCGTAATTTCTGAATTCTGATTGGTGAATAGGTTAGGTCACAGCCACATTTCCAGTGGAAGACAAGAGTTGCTTGGACATAGGGCACTGAGTCTATATTCTATTTTGAGTATCTAGTAGTTATTGAGTTAATGAGTTCAACAAAACTATCGACTATTTCGTGGTCCTTAAAGGTATGTTTCTGTGCCATGAATTATGAATATCAGTTGTGTGTCGTTTCTGCACAGTGAAAACGCTACAAACAGAACCAGAGATGACTTTGCAAAAGTCTTTCCGCAGCCCTGGAGGGGAGGGAGGATGCTCTCGTCCCTTAGAAGGCTGTGAACCGAGCATGTCCGGGCAGCAACCCCGTGGCTCAAAATTCGGCTCAACGTCGACACCCAGCGGCATGGAAAAGAACTTGCTCGGCTACAGCCCGAGGCCCTGGCGGCCCTGCTGCGCAGGCGCTCTGAGTCACTGAGGCACCGCGCCCGCTCATCACTGCGCCTGCGCACCCCACTGGCCCGCGGTCTTAAGCAGTGCCAGGCGCAGTGCGCCTGCGCGGCAAGCAGCTGGCGGAAACGCAGGACAGACCTATGGTGAGGGCCGCTTCCGGTCGGAGCGAAGCTGGGCGTACTGAGAGGGACGTTGAGAGGCTGGAGGTATGGCTGGCTGGGAGGGGGAGGGCGGGTGAGGTCCTGAGGCTGGCATCCTTCCTGAACTTGGCAGCCACCGAGGGATGGCATCCTGTTCGTTCTAATTGCTTGCCTTCCTTCTGCACATAGATGATCCTCTGCACACAACTTTCCCGCCCCGCCCCAGCCGCACAGGTTGCTTAGGTTAGCAGACGTTGAAGTAACAAGTGTCATTCTTTCTGAAGTCCGGTTTGAGCACCTTCGAGAGCTTGTGGTAGTCGATTTTATCAAGTGTTAGAAAGTGTAAGAGTGCGTTTGAACTTCAGCGCCTGAAGCCTACCTACAACAATCATAATTTTTTCTTATTGCAAATGGAAAGCATTATCTCAAACCTCAGGATGCAAAAAAAAAAGGGGGGTAAAATAAAATTGGAGATCGGGTAAAAGCAGAGATTCAAATATATAACTTCCCTTGCAGTTGTATTGAGTAAAAGTTGTGTGTTTTTAGAGCAATAGGCAACCTATTATCTGCGATTATAGTTATTTTAAGATGCGCGTGTATTCACCGTTTCCTGCAGCACACCGTGAGTATAAACTCACCTGAATCGCTTGCTCCGTTTTGGTGAGAAAACGTTTGAGATGACATGCATTCTACAGATAGACCTACAGACAATGTTCCTATACTTGAGCATTCAGAACGTATTTCTTAATATGCTTCGTTTTATGTGCGTTGTGCAAAAGTTAGAGTTAGAATGGCATCTGGGATTGTGCACCATCGTGCTCCCCTTTGACAGAAGCAGGTGGTGCAGTCAGTTATGTGAGCCAGCTGCAGCAGGGGATGAAAGGAAAATGCAGTTAGAAACGTCAGGAGCTACAGCCCCAAGTGGGCTTCTCTTGATCTCACCTACTGGGTAACTGGGTTTTCTCTGTCAAAAATAAGACCAAGAAGGGAGGTTTGTTGTTTTCCTTCATGGACCACAAGTACTGGCTGTGAATTATTGCCAGTGCGGGCAGACCCGAACTGGCAGCCCGTTTTGCTGGTGTCGGTGTTTAACCAGCCCAGTCCCCGCCCCGTGTGCTTTCCCACAAATCGCTTGTAAGCATTTAGGAATTAGTTTTGCAAGCAAATCTGCATTATACTCGTCATGGATTGCACAAATTAGCACTTGATGCGAGACTTTTCTTTGTGGGGCGGAGAAGTGGAGGGTGGGAACTTTCATAATCACCACTGCCCACTCAGATGCTGTTGTCTGAAGTCATGTGATGAGGCATGATTGTGATTCCTGGAATATACCTTTTGTTTGAAATCACTTTTAGAAAACTTGCTAGACTGTTATGCAATTTAAACCATGTTAAAGCCGGGTGGTGGTGGCACACTCCTTTAAAGCCAGCACTCGGGAGGTAGAGGGAGGCAGATCTTTGTGAGTTTGAAGTCAGCCTGGTCTACAAGAGCTAGTTCCAGGACAGGCCCCAAAGCAAAAACTAAAAAAGTATGTTAAAGTGACCGACATAGATCCCTAGAGAACTTTCAGAGATATTTAAAATGTCAGACAAATTCCATACGTGTGTAACCATGTTAAGAATCATTCTAGACCCTACTCAGTTACTTCCTTGATTTTAGATGTCTTTGGTGAAAGAGCGGTGATTGTTAGGGTTTTAATTTTCTTTTTGGTTAAGCATTTAAGGTGTTACTAGCTTTCTCTCGTTTTACCCTTTATTCCTTATAGAACATATGCTGTCTCAAAGCAGAATTGTACTGGCCATAGCATACTGTCTGGCTTGTATGTCATCAGCAAACATTTGAGAAATAGCAAGCACAAAGATAGAATCAAAAAGAACTATAATAATGAATTGATATTTGTGTAACTGTGATAGAAACAGGTAAAAATGAGGTTGTTATGGGGACAGGACTTCCAGCTGGTTTTGAGTGGCAGAGGATCTGTCTTAGCATCAGTGAAGGAATGAAGACAGATGCAGACATTGGTTTGTCTTGTCAGCAATGATTTGGATTTCAGAATGCCTGAGAAATCAGGTTCCGGTTCAACGAGCAAGTAATTCCTTAAAAACACTGGCAGCAAGTCGTTTGTTTTGAGTGCTGTATGATTATCCAAGAAAGATGACCAGAGACCGGGAAATAAAGTTTACCTCATCTCATTATTAGAAATTGTATTTTTGTGTTCTGTGCTACTTAGGCGATAGAATGCCAGTGTTGTTAGCATGTAAGATAAATGGTGCTCAGTTACAGGACTTGAAGCTGTTGAGACCGGATGGGAAATGCCGGTCAGGGCAGCAGGAAACGCCGCTGCACGTGCGTCTGTCATTTATTGCATTGACCTGCTTTCCTTGAGTGAACTATGAATAGTTTATTGGGATCCAAATCGCCCCTCTAAGCCCATTGTTTTAAATATTTATAGATTGCAACTGCCACTTAAAGTTACTCTCCCTTTGCTTTATCAGTTCAAACCAGAGGACTTGCTGCCCCTTCGATGGCCACCTCACAAGCTTCACAGACCGTCGCAGCTCACGTCCCCTTTGCAGATTTATGTTCCACGTTGGAACGGATACATAAAAGTAAAGACCGTGCAGAGAAGATCAGGCACTTCAAGGAATTTTTAGATTCTTGGAGGAAATTTCACGATGCCCTTCATAAGAACAAGAAGGACGTTCCGGACTCCTTTTACCCGGCCATGAGACTTATTCTCCCTCAGTTAGAGAGAGAAAGGATGGCGTATGGTATCAAAGAAACCATGCTGGCTAAGCTTTACATTGAATTACTGAATTTACCAAGAGAAGGCAAGGACGCCCTGAAGCTCCTGAATTACCGAACACCGAGTGGCGCCCGCTCGGATGCTGGGGACTTTGCGATGATTGCGTACTTCGTGTTGAAGCCGCGGTGCTTACAGAAAGGGAGCTTAACCATACAGCAGGTGAATGAACTCTTGGACTTAGTTGCCAGCAATAATTCGGGCAAAAGAAAAGACCTAGTCAAAAAGAGCCTTCTCCAGTTGATATCCCAGAGTTCAGCCCTAGAGCAGAAGTGGCTGATTCGCATGATCATTAAAGACTTAAAACTTGGCGTCAGCCAGCAAACGATACTGAACGTTTTTCATAACGACGCAGTTGAGTTGCACAACGTCACCACGGATCTGGAGAAGGTCTGCCAGCAACTCCATGACCCCTCCATAGGGCTCAGTGATATCTCTATCAGCCTCTTTTCTGCCTTTAAGCCGATGCTAGCCGCCGTCGCCGATGTGGAGCGCGTGGAAAAGGACATGAAGCAGCAGAGTTTCTACATCGAGACCAAGCTGGACGGCGAGCGCATGCAGATGCACAAAGACGGGGAAGTGTATCGGTACTTCTCCAGAAACGGCTATAACTACACCGACCAGTTTGGCGCATCCCCACAGGAGGGCTCCCTCACCCCCTTCATCCACGACGCCTTCCGGACAGATGTGCAAGAGTGCATTCTCGACGGCGAGATGATGGCCTACAACCCGACCACGCAGACGTTCATGCAGAAGGGGGTCAAGTTTGACATCAAAAGGATGGTGGAGGATTCCGACCTGCAGACGTGTTACTGTGTCTTCGACGTGTTGATGGTTAATAATAAGAAGCTAGGGCGTGAGACCCTGAGGAAGAGATATGAGATCCTCAGCAGTACTCTGACACCCATCCAGGGTCGAATAGAGATCGTGCAGAAGAAGCTAGCTCACACGAAGAATGAGGTGGTGGACGCCTTAAATGAAGCCATCGATAACAGAGAGGAGGGCATCATGGTTAAACACCCTCTGTCAATTTACAAGCCAGACAAGAGAGGTGAAGGGTGGCTGAAAATTAAACCAGAGTATGTCACTGGGTTAATGGATGAATTAGACCTCTTAATTGTGGGGGGCTACTGGGGGAAAGGTTCTCGAGGTGGCATGATGTCTCACTTTTTGTGTGCGGTGGCAGAGGCGCCGCCTCACGGTGAGAGGCCGTCTGTGTTCCATACTCTGTGCCGTGTTGGGTCAGGATACACCATGAAGGAGCTCTATGATCTTGGCCTGAAATTGGCCAAATTTTGGAAGCCTTTCCATAAGAAATCTCCACCGAGTAGCATTTTATGCGGCACCGAGAAGCCGGAAGTGTACATCGAGCCTCATCACTCCGTGATTGTCCAGATCAAGGCGGCAGAGATCGTCCCCAGTGACATGTACAAGACTGGCACCACGCTGCGCTTCCCCCGCATCGAGAAGATCAGAGATGACAAGGAGTGGCATGAGTGTATGACCCTGGGTGACCTGGAAGAGCTGAGGGGGAGAGCATCTGGGAAGCTTGCCACAAAGCACCTTCATGTGGGCGACGATGACGAACCTAGAGAAAAGAGACGGAAACCCGTCTCCAAAATGAAAAAAACCATCGGAATCATCGAACACTTCAAAGCGCCTAACCTCTCTAACGTGAGCAAGGTTTCTAACGTATTTGAGGACGTTGAGTTTTGTGTTATGACTGGGGTGGAGGGCTACCCCAAGCCTGACCTGGAGAACAGAATCGCAGAACTTGGGGGCTGCGTCGTGCAGAATCCAGGCCCAGAAACGTACTGTGTGATCGCAGGGTGCAAGAACATCAGAGTGAGGAACATTATCTCCTCCGGCGAGCACGATGTCGTCAAGCCCGAGTGGCTGCTGGAGTGTTTGAAAACAAAGACGTGTGTGCCGTGGCAGCCCCGCTTCATGGTTCACATGTGCCCGTCAACGAAGCAGCACTTTGCCCGTGAATATGATTGCTATGGCGACAGCTATTTTGTTGATACAGATTTAGATCAACTGAAAGAAGTGTTTTCAGGAATTAAACCCAGGGAGCAGCAGACTCCTGAAGAAATGGCCCCCGTGATCGCCGACCTAGAATACCGCTATTCCTGGGATCGCTCTCCTCTCAGTATGTTTCGGCACTGCACCGTGTATCTGGACTTGTACGCCGTTCTCAACGACTTGAGCTCCAAAATCGAAGCAACGAGATTAGGTGTGACTGCGCTCGAGCTGCGGTTTCATGGAGCCAGGGTAGTGTCCTGCTTATCTGAGGGGGTGTCTCATGTGATCGTTGGGGAAGATCGGAGCCGAGTTGCAGACTTCAAAGCTTTCAGAAGGACTCTTAAGAAAAAGTTTAAGATCCTGCAAGAACGTTGGGTGACCGATTCAGTAGACAAGTGCGAGCTTCAGGATGAAAGTCAGTATTTGCTCTAGCGCTAGCTCTCCAGGGAGCGCATTGGCACTCACGGTGAAACAGCCAGCGACATTCATTTTACCTCTCAAATACTTCAAACGCGTTCGTTACCCGAAGACAGTAATTTTTAGGTAGAAAAGACGAAAGAAAAGGACCACCGCTAAAAACAAAGTTCCTAACTTGGCTGATAGCCATGACGCACAAGCACAATGACAGTTTCAGGAGGCCCTTGTGCCGCAGCCATGCAGAAGCTAGAATTTGATTCGATATTAGTAAAGTATGTTTGGAAGCTTTTAGGACTATCACAGACTCTGGCTTTCTAAACAGAATTTTCCAGAGTTAAAAATTGTACTTGTTTTTAGCTAGTAAAAGAATTATTCAAAAAATCCGAGTTACTACAGTTAGACTTATGAAAGTAAGTCTTTTTATTCAAGAGCTCAAATGCCTCCTGGAAGCATGAACTATTTTAATAAGCAGTTTTTTATGATTATGGTCAAATGAATTAATAAGATTTCTTGATAATGTGGGGGAAGTTAAAAGAAGAATCATCTAAACCCCGGACATGAGACGTTGATTGACTTGATTACAAAATAAAAACCTTTGCAGTTTTAAGTTATCTTAGATTTAATCTTTCTGAAGTGGGACATGTTTCGTAGAGAAAGGCTTTTCATGAATGTACACTCCAGCATTAACAGAGTTCACAGAGCTTGCCTCCTGTTGGTGACCCTCTGAGGAGCTGCCCATACAGAGAGCAAGCTGTGACGTCACTAGAGAAAGCTTTGACTTTTAGAGATGGCTTTTATAGTTAATTGAAGTCACAATGTTGTATATTATATCTGTATTCAGAAATGTACTTCCATGGCAGCCCTGCAAGGGAGAAGTGTGGAACCTGAGGCAATGGGTATCAGCTATCTGAAGCAATTAGACTTCTTTTTGAAGCAATTAAATAAATGTTTGTGGTTATGGTAATTTAAATAAAATTATTAAATATTTAATGTAATACCAAAATAATTAATGTTCACTTATTTTAAAGCATTTCCTCATAGTTCTTTTATTCAGATTTTATAGTGCTATTATACTTTGTGTCTTTGTGTGAGGTGGGTATCCAGGGTGACCTTGCACTTACAGTAATGTGACTGTAAGCTCCCAAGTATTGAAATTACAGATGTGAGCCATCGCTCTGTCTGTTTACTTTCAGACTAGCTTCGTCATGTTCCTTCTGGAATCGTTGGGTTTCACATACCAAATGAACTTTGACAATTTAAGAGTGTACTTCTTCATGTTTATAGAGGCATATTCCAAAGTGCAAGTATAGTTGAAGGTTTATAGTTTTCCTACCAAAGGTAATGTTTGTTTATGGTGTCCATGGCAAGGAGCCATGAAGCCACTGTTCAGGTAGCAATGCTGAAACTTACTATGCTTATTTATTTCCTCAGTAAGTTGTGAGAATATTTGCAGGCCGTAAAAGTTGCCTCACCGCCTCACTGCAGGCTAGCACTGGAAGGGACGCACCTCCTGGACGTCTTAACCTGGGCCAGCACTGAGTGAGCTCCTCTCATTCCATCCACTTTTCCTCATCCCGTCAAGCGGTGCGGTGGATCTGTTACGAGGTCAGCGTGCTTGTGTGATGGCTCTAAGTTTGGTTGTCAGTTTGACTGTCTCTGGGACCAACTGAAACACAGGCTGCTGGGCACTCCTGTGAGGGGTGTGAGGGGTTAAACAGGAAGACTCCCCCTGAGTGTGGGTGACACCTGGTGGCAGTCCAGATGACAGGACACGGAAGGTGGACACAGTTCTTCCCTCACTGTCGCTGACAAGCTCATCTGTCCCTTGCCTGTGTTGGAACCTGCTTCTTCAGGATCCTCGCGGAGGCTGAAGACCAGCATTCCAGGAATCCCCCAGGGCCAAACAGGGACTGCCGAGACATCCAGCTTCATAGACCAAGTAACTTCTAGATTCACAGCCTCCTGTACGAGGTGGCCATCCTTTGCCAACCTGAAAAATGTCCTGTACTTCAGCCCAGTAAATCTCTTTTTAATACGTGGATTTCTCTCGTCTGTTCTGTTCCTTTAGAGAACCCTAAGTGGTGCCCTGAGTCCTAGACTTTCTAAGTGTTGAAAAACCCTTAGTGAAATGCTTTCTTGACCAAGTCCCAGTGTTTGCTGCTTGGTTGCTCCCAGCAAGGCCTACTCTGATTTTATTGACTCGGGGTACTCTGTATCCTGACTTTAAGTATCACAACAGGTCCAGTATGATGTCTGACAGCCTCTTGTGATAGCTCATAGATAGCCAACTTGGCAGGATCTAGAATCGTCTTGAGGCACACTTCTAGGAAACCCTATGGCGGGCTGTGTAGATTAGCCTAGCTTCTGGGCATGCCTGTGAGAGATTTCCTTGATTTGTTAATTAGAAGTCAGAAGATCCACCCTAGATATGGCAACCCCTGCTATGGGGGGGGGGGGTCTGAGGGAAAAGTGCTTGCTCTGTGCCTGCTTGCCTTCTCTTCTTGGTGAAGTACTTGATGGCTGCTGCCCACCACCGTCACCACCACCTCCTCCATCTTTCCTGACACCAGAACCTGCCTTCCTCATCCTTCCAAGCCAGCATAAAGACCAATGGCTCTCTGTGAACACTCCTGACTTCCCGTGCCATCCTGAGGCCTCGGAGGCCCCAAGTCTCGACAGCAGCTACCTGGTCTTCAGTCTTGGAGAATAAAGAACCACTGTTGGGCTCCCCAGACCATAGCAGATAAGTCAACCCAATAAATCCCCTTTACTGTATCCATCCTTCAGTTCTGCTGCTCTAGGTCACGGGCTGATGGACTCTTCAAACTTACTGTTCCTTTTAAAAGAGAAAATAGATATCTAAAAAGTAACAAACCTCCACTGCCCTGTTTCAATAGCCGCCAAAGGCAGCCTTGCATATGGCAGAACTCCAGATGATACGAAAGCAGTCCTAGCTCCCAAGACGCCTCCTGCACAAGCTTTCTCCTAGAAATCTTACTTTCTCAAGCCAGTTTGTTTAGGTTTTCCCATGCTCACTGAGTCTCAAGCTCAAACCATAGCGGTCAAACTGGCAGTCCTCTGCTTAGCTACAGCACACAGCTAGTCTTGACGGGGCTCCACAAAGGGAAGACAGTGACTCTACCACCCATGCCATTACCCGATGCCTGTGCCGTACTTAAGGTGGTTACTTCCATGACTTCTTCGCTACCATCTTGTACTCTTAATCCTTTGTGTTTCCTTCTCCAGAGCGCAGAATTTATTTAAGATGCAAATGAGATTTTGTCACTCCTTGTGTGGTGGTTTGAAAGAGAATGGCCCCCAAAAGGAGTGGCACTATTAGGAGGTGTGGCCTTGTTGAAGTAGGTGTGGCCTTGTTGGAGAGCACGTATAACTGTGGGAGCAGGCTTTGAGGTCTCTTTTGCTTAAGCTTGTCTCAGTGGGATGACACCGAGTCTACTTGCTGTTGCCCACATATCAATATGTAGCAGCTCCTTCTTCAGCACCCTGTCTGCCTGTAGGTTGCCATGGTGATAATGGACTAGACCCCTGAACTGTAAGCCACCACCTCAGTGAAATGTTTCCCTTTGTAAGAGTTGCTGCGGTCATGGTGTCTCTTCACAGCAATGGAAACCCTAACTGAGACACAATTCATACCCCCGAGTGGGATATTGCTGTGACAGGCCTGACCTTGTTTCTCTCTGAAGGAATATGGACCTGGGGACTGTGGATTAGGAAAACAGTTGAGCAGTTTGAGAGCTGCTTAATGAGCCATATGAGTAGGAGCATGGAAGACCGTGGTTCTGACTGATGTGATGAACTGTGTGGGTCAGAGATGGTCTCAGGATAGTTTGGTGAAAAATATGACTGCTTTTTGCCCTTGTCTGAAAAGTCTTGCCTGAGGCGAATGTGAAGAGTTTGGATTAACTCCTTTGGCAGAGGAGATCTCCAGACAGCCTAGTATAGTGTTTTATGGTTACTAGTGTTGGCTCTAATGAAGATTTATAATGAAAAGGAGCAAACTGAACAAGGAAAAATATTTGAGAGGAAAAGTAGCACCAGGAAATGAGATAAAACTAAATTCTGTATTCAAGGAAATAAATGGATTAAGAAATGCAATAAAGGGAGTGGTGACCTCAGGGCAAGATCACACCCAGCTATCTTTCCAATTTGTGGAAAGGAATTAAAGAAAACTTTAGAGCTGGGTATGGTAGCGAATATGTTTAATCCCAGCACTTGGAAGGCAGAGGCTGAAGGATCTTTGAGTTTGAGGCCACCCTGCTCTAATCATTGAAAACAGAAAGTTGGTGAAGATGTGATTGAACAAGGGGGGGGGGCTGTTCCAGCCCCAGTAAGCAGCAGAACTTGGCCGTTTCAGCCGTGCGGTTCTGGTTTATATTCCTCTGCAACTAAGGAAAGCCACTGAGGCTTGGCATATGTGAGGGGTGTCCCTGAATGGACGCCCAGAGAGGCCATTGTGTGCAGCTGTGAAGTTGAAGACTGGATTGCCTTGGAGACCCCAAGATGTTGGAGATGCCAGAGTCATGGGGTACCTGCCGAGGAAAGTTGCCAACAAGGAGTGGAACCAGCCCAGGAGAAAGTAATGTGTTGCAGTCAACAAAGCTGAATGGAGTTGGAGATCTGAAGAGCATTTTGACATCAGACATGGAGATGCAAAGTTTGGAGTTTGCCCAGCTGGTTTTCAGTCTTGCTTTGGTGCAGGATTTCCTCACTATTGGAATGTCAATGTAGATTCTGTGCCATTATATGCTGAAAGCGTGTAATCTGCTCTTTGGTTTTGATTTTACAGTGGATTAGAGTTAAGAGATTACATGAATCTTCGAAGAGACTTTGGACTTTGAAACGAGCTTGAGACTGTTATAGAATATAGGGACTTTAGAAGTGAGCCGCACAATTGAGTTTTAAGTGAAAAAAAGACAATCATGTGAATGGTTTTATGGAAGAGCATCATTTTTTTTCCCTGATTGTTTGGGGACCTTGAGGATTTACAAAGATGTTTTCATCTAAAGTTAGTAATCATTTTTAATATCATTGGCTTTTTATATCAATTATAAATCAGATCATTAATGTTCCCTTAAATGGAACAATATGAAAGCCTCTGGGTTGAACTGAGCAGATTCTTGCAACTGTCAGGTCTGAGAGGAGGCCTCTTGACTCAGCCCCTGAATCACAGTATCACTCTGCCCCACAGCCTTTGCTGACGTAAGGGTCAGGCTCATTACTCAGATGAGAAGCTACTGTTTATCACATATAAATTAATTTGTCTTAACATACTTTAATAAAAGAAAAGAAGCTACACTGTCCATGACATAGAGCTCACACACAGCACATCAGTACTGTCTTCAGATAGGCAAAGTAGCAGATAAAGCTGCCTCTGAGTTCCCAGAGCAATGTCGAAGGGAAGAAAATTTACACTGATGACCAGCCATGTGACAGGTTTCCGGGGAAGATGTGAACGGACATCTACTCCTCTGAGATTGGGAACCAACAACAGACAAAAATAAGGAGACCACCAAGTCCAACTTGGCGACCCACATGGGTTTTATCAGTGTTTCCGGGGTACAGGTGAGACATTCTGAATATTTGTTGGACGGATGTCAGAATTGCTGTGGACAAAAGCCTCAGTTCTCCCCCTTGTTCTTGTCTCTTTGCTGGGAAAGTCCTTGTGTCTGTGCCGCTGCTGTTGCATGTTGATTATTTAGAGATCAAGGCCACGTCTCCTCAGCTTCACAGATTCATGAGCACCCTGTTGTGACTACGCTTCCCTCCAGTCTCTGCTTGGCCAGCTCCCGGTTGGACGTACACACTACACGTCACCCATTCTAGCTCCGTGTGTATTCTGTTCTCCCGAAAGATTTACTCCCTCAGCACTTGTAATGCATCCCTCAAATTTTCAAATCTCATCTCTAGAGCTGAAGGTTGTACGCTCTGTTTTCCAGGGGATAACCTCATCCCTTCTCTCGGTGTCCCGAGGGCTTAGAATGCTTGTGTTCCTTGTCCTTTTCTGCCTCATGGTCTGTTTGAATACAGAGCTAACCATCTGAGTCTTTTACGGCTCACTATGCCTTAGGTTTATTCAACTTTCATAAGTATCTTTGTATTACAATCACACTGTTGTGATGTGAAGTCTTTTTATTAGTGTCTGTAAAATTAATCATGTACATTGATGAAAATTTTTCTCTGAAAACAAGAGCAGTTTACCTTATTATAAGAGTGTGTTGCTGTCCAGGGTCCAAGAGCATGGCTCTGAAAGGGAAAAGCCCAGCATTGAAACAGTGTAGACTGGTTATGTACCTCAATTCTGTCTTTTATAAAATAATGTAATTATGGCATTCACCCTATTAAGTTGCTTTAAGGAAGGAAAGCACACGTGCAACCGATGCTCCACACATGGCACACGCACAGCTGCTGCACAGCAGGGGAGGGTGAGCAGGGGCAGAGAAACACAGTACAGAGGAGCACCTTGCATGATGCCAGGGATCCCTTTATCCTCTGGAAATGTCCACACCTGGGAAAAATCCCACCCTCCTCCTGCAGATGGAGATGCTGTTGGCATGGTGATGAGGAGAGAGAGGACTTCCGCTAAGTATCTCATGAGGAACAGAGCAGCCAAGCACAAAAAGTAGTGGTCAAAACTCAGATGCTCGTGGCCCATAGGTTAAGAACACCTGTTCCCAAAGCTTCTATAATTCAATGAGAAAAGACCTTTCATGACTGTGACTAAGCCCTGACCACACATCATTCAGTGCTGTTTCTAGTCCAACTCTCATTCATAAAGGAAATACTAATCCTTGCTTACTCGGTTTAGAAGGCTTCGTGTACTTGCTAATTACTGCATGCAGTGTTCTTGGAAGTTCTAAAGTACTATGTAAACGGCACTCACTATTAGTCACTGTTTGGAAAAGCTTAGCTGGGCCCGAGCGCAACCTTAGAGACTGAGGCCATGCTGAATTATTTCTGCTAAGCTGGGACACTTACATTGAGGGAGGCAAACATTAGGGCCTAAGATAATTTTAGGCCCCA